AGCAGGGACCTCAATGCAACACTCATCCTCTGTACCTTTGCTGATTTTCCCACAGGCCTCTTCACACAGCTCCCTGGTCTGAAAGTTGTTGCTGTTGCCCTCACAGCCACGGTAGACAAATGAGATGCACTTCTTCTCCTCCGGATCATAGTAGAAGTGTTGCAACTCCTTTGAGCAGCTGCCCTGGTCTCGAGGCAACTGGCACCGGTCACTTCGCACTGTGAGAGAGGGAGAGAAGGGAGCTCGCTTGGCCTCTGGCTCAGGGGCTCAGGCAGAGGACAGAGGGGGAAGGAAACAGGTGGAAGAAGGAGGCTTGGACACACCTGAAGGCAGGCAGCCTCGGCTGCAGCCGGTGAAGCAGCACTTCTCGGTCAGGCGGCAGTCACGGTCATCACCGCAGGTGTTGTTGCAGGGAACAAAGGGGAACACTTCGACTCTCCTGGGACACACACCAGGGTGTTCTAGAATGTGCGGGAGTGACAGACACAAGAACCAATCAGGATACGTAGAGTTACTTCTGAGCTGTTTCCTTTACTGTTCCTCACCTACAGACGGAATCTTGCCAGACTGAAGCAACTATTTGCATATTACAGACAATAATCTCTGGGAATCTCTAGGAAGGAGCTTTGTGAAGTCTCTGCCTCATGATCCAACTGTCTACATTGTGCTGCTCTTTCCTTTCTGAAATGCAGCCCCTCCCTTCTAGGAATCCAGACTGCATTCCACCACAGGGAGAGATGGGAGGCAGTTCCTCAGTGCCTGGGATTGGATGGCAGACACTGTCAAGCTTGAAATGGTCATAATCTCTCTGGTGCAGCTGCTCTCAAGTTAGACATGAACCCCCTTCTGCGCCCACCTCAATGCAGGGCCTGGGCCTGGTAGTTTGGAAGATGAGGAGCACTGGGGATCTGGGAAGGCTCACAATGTGAACTATGCCAAGAAAGGGAAAGGCTGAGGATATACAGTCTGCCACTGTGCTCAGCTTGGTTAATGTTAAGTTTGTGTGGGCAGCTTTGTGGTTTAACAGTGGGTGCACACCCTACACATTTCTTCCCTTTATGACGCATGTATTGCACCTGTGCAGGAAATTGGTGAATTTAGGAACCAGCTGACGATGTGAACAGACCTTAGGTGATATTATGGGCTTGTGCACTCTGCCTATCAGACCCTGCTGCATGGATGGTGGGGGCTGTTGGGGGGGGGAGGAGAGAGAGAAAAGGGATGTACCTTCCACGGCCTCCACACACAGCTTCCTGTCCCCAAATGGGCAGCACTTCTTCTGGGGAAGGGGAAAACCAGCGTTGCATTCCCAGTCACTGTTGCAGTCCGTGTAGCAAAGAGGGCCATTTCTGCTGCTGGGTGGATGAATCACCAGTGGGCAATATCCTGAAGTATCTAGGGAGAAAAGGGAGACACCGAACAGAAAAGGATATTCAGTCACCGGATGGAGCTCACACCCTAGTAGAAGAGGTCCTCTCCAAATGCTGTAGCACTTTCCGCAGCCTGGCAGGGGCGTTGTAGGCAGTGGGGTTGGCAATTAGTAACCGGGGGGGAATTTTGCCTGACCCCATGAAGCTGCTGGAATGGCTTCTGCCACTGTGCCATGGGGGGTGGGGTCTTCTCTGGCTAGGGGGCAACTGAAGGTGATCTAGCCAACTGAGACTGGCACTGGAATCCTCCTTCGCTGGAAGCTCAGTGGTTAAACTTTCTGTTCAGACAGGTCGGTCCCCTTAATTACCATGCCCGAAGAGAGTTCTAAAACACATGTTGGTTAAAGGAAAGGAAGTGGCACAGCTTTATGCGAGTGATATCTGCCCATCTTTAAAACTAGTCAGACTTTTGGGAAATATCGGAAGATTGGTACTGAAATGTGAGATAGAAATAAAATAAATATAGGCTTGAGCTGGATAGCAATATATATAAATAGCTTGCCTTCAGAAGTTGCGGGGGCTTTATCACTGGAGGTCTTTAAGAAGAGACTGGGCAGTCACTTGTCTGAAATGAGCAGGGGGATGGACTAGAAGACCTCCAAGGTCCCTTCCAGCTCTATTCTGATTCTAATTCTGATGCTGGCTTGCTGGCCTCCTTCTTCCCTCCTTCAACCTCAGGGAGGCTCACTACTGCTGGGCTGAACTCTCAGGGCAAAGGTTTCCTGGGGGCAGTCTAGGAGAATTCTCCGTGGCCCACTTGCCATTGGACAATTCACCGTCGGACAACAATGCAAGAGGATGTATTGTAGACCCCTTCTTCTCTTAATATTGTATTAGTAATATTATTGATATTATTATTATTCGTAATATTATAAGTTATCTTGCTTTGAGTTGTCCTAGGGCGAATTGCCCTACAGGGAGTTAACTATTCTGTTTCTTGGACAGTTCAAATCTTGTAGGCCTCCAAGGATGAAGCTATTTCAGTGGTATTTCATGGCAGGGCAAGAAACTTTCCACTCTGGCACAGCTCTGCCGCCCTTCATGCCAGGCTTAGCAGGCGTCCTCCCCCCTCCATTCCTGGCCCCTCGCCTCCCTCCCAGTCCTGGCACCAGACTTACCTCCTTCTGGGAGTTGACATTGCTGCCCACAAGAAGTTGGACAGCAGCGCTGAGTGCCCGGGCAGCTGGCATCGCTGGAGCAGAGTCTGTCACAAAATAGGTGATTATTTGGAAGGATGGCGGGACACTCACCAGGCTTGTTGATACCTGCAAGGTTGTTTTTTTTTTTTTGAGAGGGGGGAGAGATGGGATTCCTATCAGTCAAGTGGGAACCGTTTTGTTCTCTTGGAATATTATCCATGAATTCAGCAAAGCTTTGGCTAGGATCCATCAGCCCTCTCAAAATAAGGAACCCATCCACACGTCTCCTTCTGGGAACCTTTCACAAGCCAGGAGGGAGATGGTTCTAAAACAGGTGGTAGTGATCATGGGCCTAGGATCCTGACCACCTCCTCAAGTGCAAGAGTGCTAAACTATTCCCAGGTAACTAGTCAAGAACTGCTAGCCGTAACCATAAGCCTAACCAACCTAATTATGCATCCAAAGTCAAGTGTACTACAGAAAAGGAATCGCTGCTGGTTCGCTCTGTCCTTCCCTTCCTCCTCTCCTGAGCAATGGTATAAGTATATACAGAATAAATAAATATGAATAAATGGACAAATGGTCCTGTCCATCTGTCCCTCTCAGTTCTCTCTTTGAAGTCTCTTGAATTGCAGTCTACAACTGATTGACAGACGGTAGCCATTGTAGTATTGTGAGTGACAATACCCTGTTCCTCCTTTCCTTCACCATTTCTCCTTTTTCAGTCCCCTTCCTCCCTCCCTCCCTCCTTCCTTCCCTTCCTTCTTCTCATTCCTTTCTCTTTTCTTCTGTCTCTTCTCATTGCCTTTCTTTTCTTTTCTTTTCTTTTCTTTTCTTTTCTTTTCTTTTCTTT